ACACACACACACACACACACACACACACACACACACACACACACACACTTCTATTAAATTAAGGAAATATGATTAACATATTCCATAAAAATTATTCCTAAAGTGTCACCCATAAACTATCAGTATAAACTGTGTAAGGAATGGCTAGAAATTCTTAGCTGAGTATGGTGTTTGATGTCTGGAATCCCAGCACAGAAGGTGGCAAAGCACTACATGATAATATCCTATATCAACAAAATAAAACAAACTTAAGCCTCACACTTCAGATCTATTGAATCAAAAGCTCTGAAGATATGGTTTAAAAGCGTTTTTTTTTTTTTAAATTTAGGATTTCATATATGTAGATGTGTCTGGTCTTGAACTTGCTATGTGGACTAGGCTAGACTTGAACTTGAGATGTGTTTGCCTGCTTCTACTTCACAAATGCTGGGATTAAAGGTATGTACCACCATGCCCTCAACAAGAAGTCTCTTTTAACAAATCCTTCAGGAACCTTTGCTAAAGAAAACATATACTACAGAATAAGTCTTATTTGACATCTTCTAAGAAATTGAAAATACAGTCTATCTAGCAAGACCAATAAGTTCTGAATTTCATTAAGGAATTTAATATGATCAATAACTTAGTAGCTTACCTTGATAAATTAAAATTAAGGGCTTTATAAGATAAGCAAAAAACTATGGGAAACAGAAGGAATTTAATACAGATCACAACATTTAAAATGGTAAATATCCTAAACTCTTAGAGCAAATATTAGAGCATGGAGGGCCTCATATGAATTAAAGAATATGTGTTTAACTGTGAGAGGAACCTAACTTAGTCTCTCAATTTTCTCTTCTTAAACCATCCTAACTTTATTGTAGTACATGAGACATACCCCATGTAACCCAAAAAATTAAACACACATTCATAAAGTACATTCCATAGACTGACTAAACATCAAGACCAAATATCAATTAAGGTGTTTCAATAATTCTTAGAGTGTTAGTGGAACATGTAGCACCACAGCTGTTTTATACATATATACCTGTATGAAAAGAATTTCAAGTTTTTGAAGAGAAAAAGCAGAAAAGATATTAGAAGATGGAAAGATCTCCCATGCTTGTGGATTGGAAGGACTAACATAGAAAAAATGGCTATCTTATCAAAAGTAATCTAGAGATTCAATGCAATTCCCTTCAGAATACCAACACAGATCTTCACAGACATTGAAAGAGCAACTCTCAATGTCACATGGAAAAAAATAATAAAAAAACCAGAATAGATAAAACAATACTGGACAATAAAAGAATTTCTGGAGGTATCTCCATCCCTGATTTGAAGCTGTACTATAGAGCAATAAAAAATTCATGGTATTGTCATAACAGGTTGATCAATGAAATCGAATTAAAGACCCAGAAATAAATCCACACACCTATGGACACTTGATTTTTAACAAAGAAGCCAACATTATATAATAGAAGAAAGAAAGCATCTTCAACAAATTGTGCTGGTCTTAGATATCTGCATGTAGAATGCAAATAGATTCATATCTATCACCCTATACAAAATTCAACTCCAAGTGGGTCAAAGATCTCAACATAAAACCAGATACACTAAAATTGATAGAAGAAAAAGTGGGGAATAGCCTCGAATGTGTTGGCACAGGAGACAACTTCCTAAACAGAACACCAATAGTGCAGGCACTAAGATCAGCAATGAATGAATGGGACTCCATGAAACTGAAAAGTTTCTGTACAGCAAAGGATACAGCCAAAGGACAAAATGACAGCCTACAGAATAGGAAAAGATCTTCACCAACTCCACATTTTACAGAGGTCTGATACCCAAAAATATATAAAGAACTCAAGAAACTAGACATCAACAAACCAAATAATCCAATTAAAGATGGACTGTAGATCTAAAGAGAATTCTCAACAAAGGAATCTCTAATGGCTGGGAAGCAGTTAAAAGAAATGTTCAACATCTTTAGCCTCCAGGGAAATGCAAATCAAAATGACTCTGGGATTCCATCTTACACCTGTCAGAATGGCTATGATCAGAAACACAAGTAACATGCTTGCAAGGATGCAGAGCAAGGGGAACACTTCTCCATTGCTAGTAGGAGCAAAAACTTGTACAGCCACTTTGGAAATCAATATGGAGGTTTCTTGGGAAATTGGGAATTGATCTATCTCAAGATCCATCTATACCACGCCTAAGTATATACCCAAAGGACATTGCATCATACCATAAGCACACCTGCTCAACTAAGCTCATAGCAGCTGGAAACTGGAAACAACCTAGATGTCCCTCAACTGAAGAACAGATAAAGAAAATGTACATTTTCACAATGGAGTATTACTCATCTGTGAAAAACATCATGAAATTTCAAACTAGATCATCTTGAGTGAGGCAACCAAGACTCAGAATATAAGTGGATATTAGCCATAAAGAAAAGGATACAATCCATAGACCCAGAGAAACTAAGTGAAAAGGAGGGCTCAAGGCAGGAATGCATGAATCTCTCTAGTAAAGGGAAATAGAACAGATATTATGGGTGGACTGGGGTTGGGTGGGGATGAAAACAGGAGGAATCAGGTGGGAGGAAGACAGAGGGAGAAAGTACTGGGAAAGACAACTGGACTTGGGGGCCATTTCTGGATGAGCTAGAAACCTAGTGCAATGGAAACTCCCAGAAATCTATGAGGGTGACCCTAGATAAGACTCCTAGCAATGGGGGATATGGAACCTGAACTAGCCATGTTCTACAACCAAGCAAGAGTTCCAGTGGAGGCATTGGGATACCAACCTACCCACAAAACCTACAACCTATGCTGTGCACTGTGGTAGAGATGATGCATAAATTGCTGGAGTGGACAACCAATGACTGGTCCAGCTTGAGACCCATGCCATGAAAGGACATCCACCCCTGACACTGCCTGGAGGGTCAGGAACCAGAGGCTGGATAGCCTAGAAACAGGATAGAACCAAACACGACTGGGGGAAATCAATAAAATGTTTCATAATGACATTCTGCTATATCGATAGACAGGACCCTAGCATAATCATCATCGGAAAGACTTTACCTAGCAACTGATAGAAATAGATGCTGAGACCCACAGCTAAACATTAGGCCAAACTTGGGGAATCCTGCAGAAAAGAGGGAGGAATGATTGTAGGAGCCAGAAGGGACAAGGATACTACAAGAAAACTCATAGAAACAACTAAACTGGACTCAGAAGGGTTCAGAGCCTGAATCGTCAACAAGGGAGCTTACATGGAACTAACCTAGGCTAGGTCTTCTGCACATGTGTTACAGTTGTATAGCTTGGTCTTCATGTGGGACTCCTAACAGTGGAAGCAGGGACTGTCTCTGACTCTGTTGTCTGTCTTTCCTTTCTTCCTACTGGGTCTCCTCATCTAGCCCTAATAAAAGAAGAGGTGTCTAGTCTTACTGCAATTTGATATGCCATGGCTAGTTGATATCCATGGAAGGCCTGCCCTTCTTCTAAAGAGAAATGGAAGAGTTGATGTGTGGGGGAGAGGCAAGGTGGTGAGAGGGACTGGGAGGAGAGAAGGGAGGGTAAACTATGGTCAGGTTGTAATAAAAATAAAATGAAAAATGAGAACAAAAACATGAAAATATGAGTTTTTATTTCATTCATCATGTTCTTCTTTTTAGGTGTTGGGATGTGGCAAAAGCAAGTGAATCTTAGAATGTGTGTTAAATAAGAAAGGATTTGGAAGATTTCCTTAGCAGAGTATGGGCTGCCTGGGCCTACATTCCTGGAAGTGATCAACAAGCACTTCTAGAATATACATAGGATATATCAACCTGGTAATAGGAACAGAGAAGTTAAGAGTGTTTATCTCTATTCTTTAAGAACCTAACATATATTGGGCATGGTGGCATATGCTTGTGATCCCAGTACTCAGAGGGTTGAGGCAGAAGCATAGCAGTTTAAGGTTATTTTGTGCTATATAGCGAGTTAAAGGCCTGACTAATCTATACAGTGAGACTCTATTTCAAAAAAACAAACAAACCAAAAAAAAAGAAACAAAATAAAACAAATCAAAACAAAAACACAAACCCTAATTCAGTAGCAGAAACAAATGTACAATTTAGATTTGTGCTTTCTCATAGTATGCAGCAGGTTCTACCAGCCCTGGAGTTGTGTCTTCTATTTATTAATTCTTACATTGCCTCAAACTTAAAGGGAACATCTTACTTCATGTTAGACTTGTTTTAGAGTAACACTAAAACCAGTAGGACAAAATGTTTTGTAAAACCATTTTTGAAGTGTTTACTACCTGAAGTGTTTACTAGTTCCTCTGGAATCAAAACTCTTTTCCATAAAAATTTACAAATTGTTTCTACCTTAAGTTTTTAAGTCTTTAAAATGAAGGTCATGTAGTTTTTGTTTTGGAAGCTGTATGTTTTGGCTACTTATTAGTACTATCACTGAGGTTCCATTTATATTGAAACAATTTCCTATGGAAAAGTTATATCTGCAAAGACTAATAATGCCTGAGTCAGATATGAAAATCTTAGAGTCTAAGGCCTTTTCCTAATTTAAGTTGGACTTCAGAGCATTTCATCTTATAAATCTCTTAGATAAATAAGCTAGAATTTACTGATTAATCATGACCTGGTGAGTTAGGTTAACTCTGTATGTTAGAAATGTATAGCTTCTCCTAAGTTTCTACCCAAGAAGTACATAGAAAACCAAGAGAGCTCTTTCCTTAAGTCAAAGTTGTAAACATGCCAATACCTGAGAGAAGGTGTTGGAACACAATCTGGATTGGCAGGTACTTGAACACCTTTTTCCCATTCTTCCTTCCATGTGTCAGTAAAGAGGTAATAGCTGTCTGGATTAACATGATGAGAGTCAGGAATTTTCATGGCACTGATGAGGTCCTTTCGGAATACCTGGAGAGATACATCGCATATACTTTAAAATTGCTATGAAACTGATAATATTTAATGTCTTCTTTTTTAAAAAAAAAAAAAAGAAAAGATCATCCCTTCTCACCATCTATTTCCAATAAGATAAACATCTCCTAATTCCTAAGTGGGTAGGCCAATTTCTGTTTGAGAAGATTTGACCTACTGAAAGGGAAGCCAGCACTTCTGGAAAGAGACCATCCAGCATTACTACTACTACTACTTGAATTTAAATAAACAATATTCCAACTGATCTTTTTTTCTTTTTAAATAAAAGAAACAATCCTCAGCTCTCTTAAAGTAACAAATACCTGCTGAAAACTTACAATTATTTAGGCATTTACCTCATTTAAAATTTTACTTAGAAATAATTATATATATACAGAAACATTATAAAATGCACAGTATTCTTATATATCCTTCAAGTTTCACATATTATTAACATCTTAAATGACATTGGAAATTGTTCTAATTTTTGTTTGTTTTCTTTTGAGACAAGGTCTCATTTCATAGCTGTGGCTGTTGCTATGTTAACCAGGTTTGTCTCAAACTAAGAAATCCTCCTGCCTCTGGCTCTCAGTGCTGGGACTAAAGCCATGCACCACCATACCTGGCCTCAAAATAAATCCATCTAAATTAGAAATATTTTGATTTAGTTTTGAAACAAGATCTCTATATAGCTTAGGTTGTTCTAGAACTTGCAGAAATACTCCTGCATCAGCCTCACAAATGCTGGAATTACAAGCTTGAATTGCTATACTGGACCCTAAACCAAGAAATTAACATAATGATACACCACTACTTAATCTAAGGACTTCATTCAATTTTCACCAATATTTTTAGTGTTTTTCAGTTCTGGAGTTCAATCTAGAATCCTGTATACCTCCTTGGTATCTTCTAATTTGTGACAACTTCTCAATCTTTCCTTATCTCCCATGACTGACACAAAAATTATGCTATGTTCTTATTCTATTTTATCAGGGATGTATAATGTTAAATGTCTTGTTTACTGGTGATAAATTTGGCTACTCAGTTCAAACAGTATTTTGTTAGATTTCTTCAGCTAGTGTCTTACTGGTTTCCATTGCTGTTAGCTTAGTATATTTTCATTATGTAATATTCTCAAATTGTAATAGTTGCTTATTTCCTATTTAATGAAAATTATTGATGTTTTATAAACATATTTGATCTTATTCTGTATATGTACTTTTAAGGCACTTGAGAAGGTATATTCTTTATTGTCTGTAGTACCAAAATACACACTTTGATAGATACTAGTGAGATATACCTTAGTGGTCTAGGATAAATGTGTCTACATTTTTATAAGATCAAGGAAAAAGACACATCAAACAATTTTAGTCTTTAACACTAATCAAGTCTCTTGAAGGAGAATGTCAAACTCCTCTGTAACATGAAGTTTACATAGTTTATGACCCAATAAAACATTGAATTCTCAGGAGGCTGCAGTTACGTTTAAGCTGTGATAATTTTTACAAAGCATAGGGCCAAATTATCACATAATCACATGGTACTATTTATATGAGAAAGAGCTCACCTCATTTCCTACTTTATAGAGACAAGATAAAACGTTTGTTGCTTTCACTTGGGAAAGATTTTTAGGGCACTGCATGGAAGAAATCTACAAAGGTGGTCAGGTGGCACAAAAACATGATCTTACTAAGAATACTGGCAAACTAAAATTAATTGGGTTGATATACAGGGAGAAAGCTAAGGGTACAAGAAACAAAAATCAGTGGTTTATTATATAATGTTTCATATAAGTGGATAAAAGACCACAGACATATTGTTTATCATGTTTCACAAAGAGCTCAGTGTTCTAAGTGATTAGCATGAGAGAATGAATCATCATTTTGAAGAATACTGCAATACATTTTTGTAAACTATTAGAGTGCCTTTAATTATCCAGTGGTTAAGTAGCAGTGACAGTTTATAACTAAAGTCTTTGGGGAAAGATAATACTGTGGTAAATCCTATCTTAGATTAGGAAAAGACAACTAGAGCTAAATATTTGACGATTGCTCCAAATACTTCATTATTTTTTAAGTTATGTTCTTTTAGAAAAGGATTTAGTTATTATTATGTACATGAGTGTTTGCCTACATATATGTATATACACCATGTGCCTGGTTCCCACAGAGGAGAAAAGGGCATCAGATTCCTTGAAACTCTGAGTTACAGGTGGCTGTGAACTGCTATGTGCATGATAGGAACTGAACCCAGTTCCCCTATAAGAACAGTAAGTGCTCTTAACTGCTGAGTCATCTCTCCAGACCTCTTTATAAAATATATCAAGTGATTACAGAATCATACAAAAAAGTCCAGGGTACAATAGAAAATTAGTTGTCAAACTAAGAACTGGGAATAAGAAAAGACAATTAATAGGCACCAACACTAAGATGACAGGAATGTTAGAATTACTGGACAAGAATTTTCAGGCATCCATGATAATTATACTTCAGTACAAAATTACAAACAATAAAATATCAACAAAGAAAAGATAAGCAAATAGAAATCTCAGAATGGAATAATACAATAACCAGGACTGGAAATATGGCTTGGTGGTTCAATGCTTCTGTAGCATTGTTGAGGCCTTAGTTTCAATTACTACAACTGCTTTAAACACATACACACACAAGAAAAAATTGTGAATGAAAGAAATCACAGGATCTCAGGGCACACAGTAGAGCACAGTAAGGAAAATGAGCTCTTAAAAAGCAACACACATGCAATTTTTAAATCACAAAAGAGAAGAAGAAATAAAGTAGAACTTAAGAAATATTGAAAAAATAATGGTAACAGTTTCCCCAAACTTGGCAGAAGATATAAATCTCAGATTCAGGATCTCAAAAAGAATAAATAAAAAGAAATCCATAGAGTTAGAGACATGGTTCCAGGGTTAAAAACACTTGTTGCTCTTGCAGAAGACCCAGGTTTGTTTCTCAGCACAGGCGGTACATGACTGTCCATTCCATAGGATTTGACACATTCTTTTACATTTCCATGGTATAATCAATCAGCAAAATAAGCAAAATAAACAAAATGATAACAGATATCATCAAACATAAAATAACTGAAGTCAAATAGTCTTTTCTGACAAAAGGACTCTAATTAGAAATCAATAGACACACCAAATAAAATAAAAACTTGAAAAGGAAATTAAATATAAAAATTAATAGGATGCAGCTAAAATAGTATTTAAAAGGAAACATATAGCACTAAAAGTTACACATTGAAAAAAAAGAGGCTTGGAAATATAGCTCAGTGGCAGACTCAAGACATTGCGTTTGATCTTCAACACTACAAGCAAAATATGTTTCATTAATAACTGAAACAAGGGCTCAGTTGTAGAGCATTTACCTAATAGCTAAGTAACCATGTCAAAAAAATCTAGAACAAAATAAACCTGAGGAAAATACTATGAATAAGAATTGAAACTGATGGAACTGAAGAGAAAAACTAGAGATGATTTTACTGATATAATGAAACAATTTCAAAAACACAAAAATTATGTAATTACGTAGGATAACAACCTAAAATATAAAGTAGGGTGGGTATGTAGATCAAAACTACAGTGCTTTCACAGCATGTGTGAGGCCCTAGATCTAATGCTTCTAAAAGAAAGCCCTAAAATATAAAGTAAATATATATATATAAGCTTATGTTGAAATAAGGTATATATAAGCTTATATATATATACATATATATATATACACATATATATATACATTACATATACATATGTAGCTATTTTTAAGATGAGGAGAAGACATAAATCTGTAAAGAATATTATCAAATATATTATTAACTAACTCAATCAAGAAGTGAATCCTTGCTTAACATCATCCCTGTATTTTAGTATGCCAGTCTTAATGACTAGTGAAGAAAAAAGGAATATTATACTGGAGAAACCTCATATTAACCAAATGGTAATCCCCTTGATACAATGTGACAAGAAGGGCTCTTTATTCTATTATAGTGTTCTTCCAAACCTTAATTATAGTCTAATCATAAGACAAACCCACAAACTCACACTGGAGAAAAGTCTACTGAACACTCAACAGTATTCTTAAGTTTTTTTAAGATTTATTTATTATATTCTATGTGTATGAATGCTGTGTGTGTGTGTGCGTATGCGCATGTGTGTTTGTGTAATATATATGTGCCTAATGCCTGAGGAAGCCAGAAGGTGTCAGATGCCCTGGAAGTGGAATTACAGATGGTTCTGAGCTGCATGTGGATGCTCAGAATTGAACCTAGATCCTCTAGAAGGAATGCCAGTGTTCTTAACTGCTGAGCTATCTTTCAAGTCCCTTTCACTTCTGTTTTTGTATATTATATTCCCTAGGTTTTTCCTGTATGGCAGACACTTGGAAAAATACTGTGACATTCTACCAACCTCACAAAGATCTCTGTCCAATTGACCTCTGAGAAAGGGAGAAATATTCTCTGCTGGATACACTTAAAAAGTAATCCCCATCAGTTATTTCATTTTTGTTGGAATGAGTGGAACCTATGACTTGTTTCTAACTATAAACTATGGAACAGGTTTTAGATGATAAAGCTGGGTGGTTTTTTTGTTTGTTTTTAAAAACATCAATGTCACACTGTCACATAAAAATTTCATTTTAGCATATGGGATAGAAAGATTCTCTTTCCTGTCCCTGAGAAAGTAGCCATGTTGTGAGAAAAGGCCAGATGGCAGGAAACTATAAAATCTTTTAGGAACTGAGTGATGTCAAAAGACTGTAGGAAAACAGGAATCTTGAGTCTTTCAGCTTCAAGGAAAGGAATTTTGCTCATAACTTGAAAGTGAATTCTTCTCTAATCCCCATGAGAACATCCCAGTGAGCACAGTGGTTGCAGCCCTGAAAGACTTGAACATAGACTCTAGTCAAACTCAGTATAGATTCCTGACCCAAAGAAACGGAGATAATAAATGTATGCAGTTTTAAGCCACTAATCTTGTGATTATTTGCAATGCAGAAACAGATAATTAATGCACTCTCTTTTTCTTTTCTACTTAAGAATTTCACTTATAGTGAAAATGAAGATACAGGGTCAATTTCTAACAATGTAATTTCCACCAAGGAAAGTCTGTATGACCCACTAAATGCAAATATAATCCTAGTAGGTTGATGCTCTTGGAGCAGATGCCCAGCATCAGAGAAGTTACCTATTTTTTTTCTGGGCTAGTAGTGTTTCAAAAACTGTTAGGGCTCAGTCTTTCCCTTCTCCACTATCTCCCACCGTCTAATGTAACTATTTTCAACATTAGGCTACAAGATCTTGGGATCCTTCACACATAATCTAGCTCTTTTTAATTTCCTGGCTAGAAAAGGACTACAGTAATCTTCAAATGAAATAAATGTAAAAATTACCATTCTCATGAAGGAGAAAAGACAAAAAAATCTTTCTTGGAAAATTAAGCATAATCATCAGAATGAGCCTATAAATCTGGGTATTATAAGTATGGTTACATTTTTAAGTGTAAAATTGAGTATCTGATCTCACCTCAGCAGATTTCTTATGTTCCTTGGCATCTTTTGACTTCTTCTTATACATTGAGCCAGAAGTAAAAGAGGTGGAAGGACCTGCAAAAGATAATTAGAAAAAAAAAATACTGAAAATAGTACCCATTTTTTTAACTAAATGCTAACTAACTAGATATGAAAGATATGATAAAAGCCCACAGAGATCTCATACTACTGAAGAAAGTATTCAATTGTACCCAAGAGAGTCTCAGTGGAGTTTAACATTTATTAGTGACAACTCAGATTATAAAAACCTTAATGGCTATGAAGATTCAACTTCATGTAATATTATGGAATAACCCAATTCATGTTCTGCCTGGAGAAAAAGATCTACTAAGAAAAAAAAAATAGAAAAGAAAAAAGAAAGAAAGAGAAAAAGGAAGAAGGAAGGAAGGAAGGAAAGCCACCGTAGAAAAACTAGACTGTGAGACAAATATCTGTCAGTACTTCCCTAAAGGATATTGTTAAGGCTTTAAACAAACCAATGGTTTGAACCACAATTAAACATTTAGTACCTTACTTAAAATCTAAGTCAGGATCTACAGTTTATATTTTCTTTTTATTTATTTACTTTTCTTTATTAATTACACTTTATTCACTTTGTATCCCCCCTGTGGTGGTTCTCTCCCTCCTCCCTTCCCAATCCCTCCCTTCTTCCACCCTCTGCATGCATGCCCCTCCCCAAGTTCACTGATAGGGGAGGACCTCTTTTCCTTCCTTCTGATCCTAGTCAATTAGGTCTCATCAGGAGTGGCTGCATTGTCTTCTTCTGTGGTCTGGTAATGCTGCTTCCCCCTCAGGGGGAGGTAATTAAAGAGCAGGCCAATGAGTTCATGTCAGAGACAGTCCCTGTTCCTATTACAATGGAACCCACTTGGATACTGAACTGCCATGGGCTACATCTGTGCAGGGGTCTTAGGTTATCTCCATGCATAGTCCTTGGTTGGAATATCAGTCTCAGGAAAGACCCCTGTGCTCAGATTTTTTGGTTTTGTTGCTCTCCTTGTCGAGTTCCTGTCCTCTCCAGATTTTACTGTTTCCCACTTCTTTCCTAAAATTCCCTGCACTCTGCCCAAAGATTGCCCTAAGTCTCAGCATCTGCATTGATAGTCTGCAGGGCAGAGCTTTTCAGAGGTCCTCTGTGTCAGGCTCCTGACTTGTTCCCTCTTTTCTCCTTCTGATGTCCAGCCTCTTTGCCTTTATGGATAGGAATTGAGCATTTTAGCAAGAGTCCTCCCTCTTGATTAGTTTCTTTAGGTGTACAGATTTTAGTAGGTTTATCCTTTATTATATGTCTATATGAGTGAGTATATACCGTGTGCATCTTTCTGCTTCTGGGATAGCTCACTCAGGCTGGAGAGGTTGTGGAGAAAGGGGAACCCTCCTCCACTGCTGGTGGGAATGTAAACTTGTACAACCACTCTGGAAAACAATTTGGGGCTTTCTCAGACAACTAGGAATAGTGCTTCCTCAAGATCTAGCTATACCACTCTTAGGCATATATCCAAAAGATTCTCAAGTACACAATAGGGACATTTGCTCAACCGTGTTTGTAGCAGCCTTATTTGTAATAGCCAGACCTGGAAACAGCCCAGATGCCCCTCAGTGGAGGAATGGATGCACAAATTGTGGTATATCTACACAATGAAATATTACTCAGAAATAAAAAACAAGGAAATCATGAAATTTGCATGTAAATGGTGGGATCTACAGTTCATATTTTCAATAATTTTCTTCTTTCTTTTTAGAGATGTTCTGTTAAAATACTGGTAGATCCAGCTTTTGTTATAAGTAAATTTTAGGTAAATATAAAAGTGCTATACTCAAAACAAATTCTTCTGTTTAATTTATACAATTCTGATAAAATTAAAAAAGTAAAAAGTGTATCCTGACCTTTCCTTCTCAGAAATAACTCAACTGTTGAAAGAAGCATGAAATAACTTATTCTGAAGTAAAAAAAAAAATCCTCAAGGGGCACATTTACACAGGACTACTAGCTGGTTCTACTCACATTCATCTGAACTGTCACTGGTGCTGACGGGTCTATGACGTTTCATCATGGTGCATCCTGGGAAAGAGAACAACACTGAGTAAAATGATCAATATGCACTTGTCCTAGAGGCCAGTTAACATTGTCCCACATTGAGAGGCTGACAACCAAAGAACTGCTATGAATTTAAAAACAGCCTAAATTATAAGAGTGAGACCATCTCAACAAACCAAAATAAAATAATAAAAGCAAACAAAATAAAAACAAAGGACAGTATCCCTTAGGGCCCAGAGTAGCAACAACAGGAAAACTTTAGAAAGTGATTGGTTTATATCAAATACACTCTCATATGACCAAGAGTAATGGGAAAAGAATACTACTAAATCCTACAATAAAAATATCCAAACCTACAGATGTTGAGTGGTACTGCTGGCTAAAATCAAATAAGGAGGTCAAGCTGGGTTATCGACAGAGACACCAATAAGAACATGAAAAGAAACAGCAAAAAAGAAGATATAGCTTTCAGGGTCCTAGGTTGAAAGGCACAGATGCCTGAAAAGGAGCTGTCTGAAGAAAGGGAAATACACTTCACGTTTAAGAGAATGATTACATAGCTTTTCTTCTTGGCCCCTTTCCTTGTTCTTATTTTCAAAATAAGAAACCTATCTAAAATATTTCAACATGCACATAAACTTTTTCTTTTCTTTTTCTTTTCTTTTTTTTAAAGTTGCAATATTGTGACACTTTGGACTACATCTTCCAATGCTTCAAATGTCCTTCCCTGAGTGTTGCCAAGAACAGATTAAAAGAGTCTATCTTTCTGGTAACACACTCACACAAGTTAAGGAAGACACAAATCTGGGACACTATGAAAAAACCCAAATGTAAGAATAACAGGAATAGAAGATAGAAAAGACAAGACCTCCAACTCCAAGGCCCAGAAAATATTTTCAACAAAATCATAGAAGAAAATTTTCCCAACCTAAATAAAGAGATGCCTAAAGACATATAGTAGCTTACAGAACACCAAATAGATTGGACCAGAAAAAAAAAAAAATCCTTCCACCACATAATAATCAAAACACTACATGTACAGAACAAAGAAAGAATATTAAAAGCTGCAGGAAAAAAAAATGCCAAGTAACATATAAAAGAAGACCTATTAGGATTATACACAACAGAGACCTTAAAAGCCACAAGGGCCTGGGCAGATATCTTGGATTCTCTAAGAGATCACAGATGACAGCCCAGACTACTACACCCAGAAAAGCATTCAATCTCCATAGATGGAGAAAACGAGCTATTCCATGACAAAACCAAATTAAAACAATATCTATCCACAAGAGATCATACTAGAAGGAAAACTCCAACTGATAGAGGTAAAATAACCCCCCCCCAAAAACACAGGAAATAACCCCACACCAGCAAAACCAAAAGAATCTCTCTCTCGCTTCCTCCCTCCCCCCACAAAAATAACAGGAATAAACAATCATTAGTCATTAATATCTCTCAACATCAATAGAATCTATTTCACAATAAAAAGACAAAGCCTAACAGAATGATATGAAAACAGGACCCAACATACTACTACTGCATACAAGAAATACCCCTCAGCAACAAAGATAAACATTACCTCAGAGTAAAGGACTGAAAATAGATTTCTAAGCAAATGGACCCAAGAAGCAAGCTGGAATAGCCATTTTAATATCTCACGATATAGACTTTCAACCAAACTTAATCAGAAGAAAAGGAGAAGGACACTTCACTCATAGAAAAAAAATCCAACAAGATGACACCTCAATTCTGAGCATCTATGCCCCATATGCAAGGGCAAGAAACATTTGCAAAGCTTAAATCACACAGAGAACCCCACACATTATTAGTGGGAAACTGTGACACAAACACTTAATAAGGTCATGGCAGTACACGCCTGTAATCACAGCACTAAGGAGGCAGAAGCGGGCAGCTCTCTGTTGGTTTGAGGCCAGTCTGGTCTACAAAGCAAGTCTAGGACAGCTAAGGCTACACAGAGAAACCCTACCTCCAAAAACCAGAGGGGTGGGGGAGAAACAACATCTGGCTTTAGATCCTAGCATTAGTGGTGTTGAATGGTGGGGAACAAATTAAAAATGTGTGATATTGAGGAAGGCAAGAAATTTTTTTTTGCTCAGAAGTATGGGAGGCAAGCATAAGACTGGACCAAATCTCCACGGTCTCCTTCGGAGGAAGACAGGCTCCTTTTACACAAATGCCAACAAGAACAAAAGCATTACCCAGTGAAATGATATAATGATGGGAGTATATGGAGAATCCTAAAAAGTACATCCATGAAACAAAAGCAATTTTCACCAGAATTAAGGGAGAAACATTAGACCTAATAGCTTGTCTTTAAAAAGCTCTAATAAATAATTCTACTGTCTTATTTATTACAAAACAAATGCCTTATGGCTTTTAATTCATACAGCAAAATTCAGATCATAAATGGCTAACAAGGTTTTTTTTTTTGTTGTTGTTGGATAGTCTTGGTTTAAGTAAAATTAACTTTTTGTAAAATGGATATGGTATTCCTAAAATAACAACTTCAGTAGTCATGAATACTATCACTGCTCTCCCTTTCTCAAGATAGGGCTGGACTTAATTAACAATGTTCAACTCTTCAATAAGATGGGGTATTGCCTCAAAACTTACTGAAAGGTTTTATACTTAGATTTGTATAACTGGAATTTGATTATGCTTAAATATTGAAAAAAATATCTCACCAAACCAAGCAGAAGTCTTTCAGTTTCTGTTCTCTGGCCTGTTACAGACAACTGCTAAACTTCAAATTCTATTTGTCTATTCTTGAGGATGCCAATTTAATTAGAATTCCCCATTTCAAAGGATGCTGGCTTTTATTGTAGAGGATCATCTTAGTGTAAGTTATGCATAATATTAAATAGAGAGAGAATTTATCACTTCTTTATAGTTCATCTGTAAATTAATATGTAAGAAATTAAACAACAACAAACCAAATAACCCAATTAAAAATGCGATACAGAGCTAAGTAAAGGATTTTCAACAGAGGAAGTTCTAATGGTAGAGAGGCACTTAAAGAAATGCTCAATGTACTTAGTCATCAGGGAAATATAAAATGAATCTGAGATTCCATCTTAAAACTATCAGAATGGCTAAGATAAAAAACTTAAGGGATGATGCATGTTGGCAAGGATGTGGAGAAAGAAGAACCTTCCTTTGCTGGTGGGAATGTAACCTTGTACAACCACTTTGGAAATCATTCTGGTGCTTTCTCAGAAAATTTGGAAGAGTGCTGCCTCAAGATCCAGCTATACCACTCCTAGGCATATGTAAATATATTCTAAGAACTGAAAAAAAAAAACCAAAAAACAAAAAACAAAACATGCTTACTTAAAGAAATGAAGTATGATGACAATGCTTTGACAAATAGAATTGCAATAAAGAAACAAAGTATGAAACAGGAGCAACTGAAAAAAAATCTAGTGTTGAAAATTATAACTGGAAATCTAAAGAGCTCGAAGAGTAGATTTAAACTGACAGAATAATCAATGCACTGGAAATAGTTCATAGATGTTACACAAGCTGAAGAGTGGTGAGAAAAAAAATGAAATTTGAACAGAGCTTCAGAATAATGTGAGGTACTTATTATGTGGACTACCATATATGTAATGAAAATACCAGGAGAGAGACGGGAAAAGGAGAATACTGTTTCTGCCACAAACTTACTGAAAAACATTAATTTTCATATATAGGAAATTGAACAAACTCCAAGTAGGATAAACACAGATACCCACATATGCAAACATTATAATAAGATTGATGAAAGCTAAAAACAAGAAGAAAATCATTAAAGAAGTCAGGGGAAAAAAAGGCCCATGAAAATCCCCAATAGCATCAATAATATTAACAAATGATTTCTCATCAGAAACAATAAAAGTCAGAAAACAATGGGATAGGAAGTTTATGGTGCTCTGTTGAAATGGTTGTACATATCCTTGAAGATATTAAAATCATCGAATTGTATACTTAAGCAGGTGAACTATATAATATATAAATTTTATCCCAATACTGCTGTTACAGAAACAAACAACAACAAAAAACTGCATCAAAAGTAATATTTTGACTAGCCATGGTGTTACATATCTTTAACACCAGCACTCACAAGACAAAAGTAGGAGTTTCTCTATAAGTTTGTGCTAGGCTGGTAAACACAGGCCAGCTAAGGCTACAAAGTGAGCTCACATATTAACTAAACCAAATAAAACAAAAATTAAATATTTAATTTCAAATCACAATGAATGTAGAAATTTAAGGAGAAATAAAAGTAGCATATCTTAGCTTCTTTAAGACTATATATTTTAAGTATGTTTATCCTATATTATATGGCTAATAATATCCACTTATAAGTGAGTATATATCATGTGTGTCTTTCTGTGTCTATGTTACCTCACTCAGGATGATACTTTCTAGTTCCATCCACTTGCCTGCAAATTTCATGATTTCCTTGTTTTTATTGCTGAGTAGTATTCAACTGTGTGAATGTACCACAGTTGAGGAATGGCTTGCCAGACCACAGAGGAAGACAATGCAACCAGTCTTGATGAGACCTGATAAGTTAAGGTCATTGGTAGGCCAGGAAGACCTCTCTTATCAATGGACTAGGGAAAGAGTATACGGGGAGAAGAGAGAGGGAGGGTGTGTGAATGAGAGGAGACGAGGAAGGAGGCTACATCTTGCAAAGTGAATAAACTGTAATAAATAATAAATAAATAAATAAATAATTAAAATATTTAAAAGCTTGATAAATGGGAAAATGTAGTATACTTTTAACTATTCCTTATTTTTAATTTTTTCTTCATTACTATTGTTTATTACAATTTATTAACTTTGTATTCTGGCTGTAGCCCCCTCCCTCCCTCTTCTCCTCCTATGCCCCTCCACTAGTCCACTGACAGGGGAGGTCCTTCTCCCCTACTATCTGACCCTAGCCTATCAGGTCTCATCAGGACTGTCTGGATCCTCTTTTTCTATGGCCTAGTAAGGCCACCTTGCCAGGGGGAAGT